AACGGTTGGAATTTTTATGATTAAAATCCTAGAGATCAAAAAATCTTTGCAATATGAAATGACAGTTGGAAGGAAGGAGACAAAACGAAAACCCAGCGAAGATGTTCGTCTACTTTTTCCTACATAGACTAGAAGGCAGCTGAGCTGAGGCCGGGGGCTGCTTCCAGGACCGAGCTGCTGCGGGGTCTCTACTGGAGGGCGGAGGCCTCTCTGGGTCCGAAGCCCTGGGGCTGCGTGCGGCCGAGGGGAAGCCCCTCCGGAGGCGCCCGTGACCCTCGACCCCGGTGGGGGAGCCCCGGGAGCCGGGCTGCCGGAGAAGCAGCGTCCAGGGCGGAGGGAAACCTGACGTGATCGGAAAGTAGCGATCGAACCGGAGGCTAATTCGCCCGCGGGGCCCTTGTGGGCTCCGACTGCCGCCCGGGCGGGTGCTCCGCGGCGCCCGGGGGATCTGGCCCTGGGCAGTCTCCGGCTGGTGCCTGCGGGGCGGGGGAGGAACAGCGGGGATGCAGGAGGAGGACTGCACAGGGACCATCGACCGTCTGTCGGAGCTGAGAGTTGGCGACCTAGGGCGGCGCGGCGAAGCCAAGACCACCGACCACTGCCAGTCTCCATTCTCATCGCCTCCCCACGCTGCCTGCATCCCACCGCCTCCCCGTGCCGCCTGCATCCCAGGCTGCCCTCCTTTCCCGCTCCAGCCCCTTGGGGCCCGCACAGGGGACAGAAAGAGCAAAGACACGTAGCCAGATCTCTCCGCCAAACTGCTGTGTTCACTTTGTCACGGGACCCTCTCTGCCTCTGTGTTCTTATCTGTAAAATGGAATTGAAAATTATACTGACGACTACACCTATTATTTCTGGAGTTTGGAGGCTGAAACCGGAGAAGAGTTCGAAGCCCCGGGCCTACAGGGAGATCCTGCTTTAAAAGGGGGAGGGGCGGTGGTGGCGCACGCCTTTAATCTCAGCAATTGGGAGGCAGAGGCAAGAGGATCTCTGTGAGTTCAAGGTCAGCCTGGTCTACAAAGCGAGTTCCAGGACAGGTAGGACTGTTACACAGAGACACCCCGTGTCGAAAAATAATAAATAAATAAATAAATAAATAAATAAATAAATAAATAAATAAATAAATAAATAAATAAATGGGATGAACACTTGCCTAACAAGTCACTCAGGGCTCCATCCCCAGCATACTTTTCTGTTCATCAGCCCATCCATCCATCCATCCATCCATCAGTTCTCCTCACCGTGTGTAGGAACTAGAAAATGAATGCTGGTTAAGTGTATAAACCAGCCAGGTATACAGGAAACCCTCCATACATTTTAGATATAATTGTTCAGTGGTCTAAGAAGCATTGGTAAGAAAGGCTTGCCATGAGAGAGGCTGGCTGTGTGGGAGGCTTGCTGGGCATTCTTGGGAAGCAGAAGTAAAGCCCACCAAGAGGCTAGCTCTCCCAGAGCGCATTTACTACTGTGTACACAAACAAGGTGCTATCAGGGAGTATGAAGGACTACCAGCGGGGAGGGAGGTTGTGTGTGGCGTAGCAGACTAGCTAACAGAGTTCAAAAGCACCCTGGGGATATATTAGACCCTATCCAAAAAAAGAAAAAGCCAGTAAGAGAAGGTACCAAACCAAGACCTTCAAAAATAAAAATAAGGAGGGGATTCGAGGTGCTGTATCCTAGGATCCTGCATTCTGGTTCTGGGGCAAAATGTGGAAGCAGAAGGAGGAGTCAACAACTCTGAAACCCCATTCCTCATCTTCTACTTCCGGAAAGTTCCAAGTCTGGACTGCAGACACCAGATGGAAGTCCTGGGTTCAAGGGACTGGGACCAGGTTCCTCCTGTGGGAACCAGATATATTCTCAGGAGATTCCCAGAGAGTCAAGTCATCCTCTCTGCAGCATCGACGCCGCTGGGTGCAAAGCAAGTTAATTTACACTTTCTGCGTTGCCACACAGTGAGTTCACAGGCACAACACCCCTCATTTTTATCCAGGACCAGGCTGTGTCTCTCAAAGGGCAAGTGTTGAGCAGATCAGTCTAGTTCAGTTTAAGCCTTGAACTTGCCCTACAACACTGACTTTTTTCTGTTTTAAAGAGAGACTATTCCTCAATGCCTGCCAAGAATCCTGACCCTGCTTTGTGTAATGCGATCCCATTTAATCATCAGAGCCACCCCGGGAGATAGTTTTTCTTTTCTTATGTTCTGTCTTTCCGTTTGTCAGACAAACGCACAGAGGGTCTGAGAAGTGAGATCTCTTTAGCAAAGGGAGGACCAGTTACTCTGCCCTTGATTTGCCCAGAGCAAGGAAACCAGGAACCGGAGCTGAAGTGCAAGCCAACGGCTGGCCAGGCACACCAGGGCAAGGCAGATGTCATTCCCTGGCCCTTCTTCGTGCCTCCTCACCATTCCAGGGCTCTGTGTCTGTCTCAGGCACACTCTGTTGAAGTCATGATCACCACTGGGCCAGGCACAACCTCTTCCATTTCAGGAGGATGGAACCTGGCCACTTTTGAGTAGATACAGCACAACAGCCTTTTCCTTGAACCGAGTGCCCAGGAGTCTGTCTCACTGTTGACTCCGTTTTAACCTGAAATGTTTTCACTTTACAAAGCCAAAATTTCATTCATTCAACAGATGTCTATCGACTACTCTAGGTCATAACCAGAGCTGGGCATTGGGTAAGAAATACTGAGCAAAATAGACACTCTCTGGCACATAGAAAAAAAAAATAGCCAGAGACCACACAGCTAAGGAACCCAGCACTCCTCCCTTCCAGTTCTGCCAGTCAGTCAGTGTTGGCCTGACTCACTCCACTTACTAGACGCCTTTCGCCCCGATCCCCAGAGGACACTCAAAGCCCCACCCCCTGCAGAGGCCCACAGCACCCCTCAACACCAACAGTCGAGCGCGTTTGGCCTCCTCACTTTCTCTTGATACGACCAAAGAACTCCAGCTAGGTCTTAAATGGTGAATGCTGCAAGCTGCTGGTGGGATGTAAAACATTAAAACCTGTTCCAGGCGCTCTGGAAATGCACGCTCAGATTACTTTTCGAATTAGAAGTCATCACCAGCAAAGGCTAAGTAGTAATGCGACTTGCCCAGGGTCACGGTGTTAGGAAATGACCCACTGACGATGCAAACTAGGCCAGAGAGAACCCCGAATCTGCTGCCACCCCCTCCCCTCAAGGTCTGTACCTCCACCGGACAGTGCCAGAGGCCGCGGCACTATCCTGGGGAAACCACATCTCCCCTGGCTTCCTGAAAAAGCCAAAGGGGAGAGCCAGCGGCGCCTGCCGGGCGCACTCAGCGAGAGCGAGAGGGTGGGGCGCTTTGCAGACAGGGCCTCAACTCCCGCCCGCATTCGAGCTGGTCAAAATCCTTCAACCAAGGCCGGCGCCGCAACGCCAAGAGGAGCCGAAGCACGGCTCGAACTCTTAACCCAGAGCACTTCGGACAGGCAGCTTCTCTCCGCCTCTCCAAAAATCTCGCCAACTTTTGCGGTGGTCAGTATTTTTAAAGTGAATTAAATAACAGCAGGGAACTTTTCGAAAAGTTGATACAGGTGAATATCAGGGTCTTTCTTGGGTCAAAAACAAAAACAAAAGAATTTTTTTTCTTTCTTTCTTTTGTTTTGTTTTGTTTTTTTTTCAAGGCTCTTACCTGCAGGAAACCCAGCAGCCGGCAAAGGCGCGTCCTTCTGGAGCGCTTCGCTTCGGCGCGGGACGTTCTCGGGCCGCCTCGTCTGCAGCCCGGCTGGGCTCCGGCCCTGTGTTTTATACCACTATAGGCAATTAATATTGCATCAGCCGTATTTTAAATTTTCAAAACCCACAATATAATGTAATGGCATAAGGGCATTTATTATTAAAGGACGCCGATGGAGAGGGAGGTGGAGGAATTGCTGGGGTTGTTCTGCAAGGCGGGTGCGAGGGGCTGAGGCCTGAGGAACTGGGGGCTATCCACAAGTTTGCTTTTACAGAGGTGGGGGGGGGGAGGCGATGTAGCCGCGCTGGAGCACAACGTGGAACCGAAGCCTGCTTTGCTCTGAATTTCGGGCTAGAGGCAAAGGACCCAGAGCTCCTTGAAGACCCGCCCGGGAAATGTGCAGATGACTCTTGGTCCTGTAACATTAATTTTTAAACCACAAACGTGTTTCTAAGGCTCACACGCACTCAAAAAGTTTCCGCTCACATGGAGTGGAAAGAGAGAAGGATACAGGCATTCGCTGGCATCTACCGGGTGCCAAGCACTGATAACCGTTTTTGCAACAGGCATCTTAGTCCCTCCGCAGAACAGCCAAGACACACTACCCTGTGATAATCTTCCGGGGACGATTTCCAATGAGTTGAAGAAATTTGGAAAAGGCTCCAATGTTCTGTCCAAGAAAATGTTTTTCTCCCCCCTTTGCCTCTATGCCCTCATCCCTGCCGGTGTTTGAATCCTTTAAAATAGTATTTTGCTTCTTATAAAGTGCCAAGCACCACCTACCAGATGCCTTCAATGGATAGTCTTAGGCAGTCTTGAGCATAGCAGTGTGAGATGGGTAATAGGCATTCATTCTGTAGACCAACACGCTGGACCAGAAGATAGGGAAAAGTTAGGAATCTAGCCCCAAGGTGGGTTAGCCTCTGAGTGACAGCACTGGAGTTTGAACTCCCAGTCAGCCAGGCTTCCAAGTTTCCAAGTTAAGAGAATAGCCTGACAGTTTGTCATCAAGAAGCACGGAGGAAAATGTCTTTGAAGGCATCTGAGATTCTGGGAGAAGCCAAAGCCCGGTCGACTGTGTTTGAAGTAAGAGTGTGAGGTTGCTTGGGAAGGGACTGGGTAGGAGAGATGGTTCAGTCCTTACAGGTTTTCATTTTTACATCCTTTCCAAGTCTTTAGTGCCAGAGAAGGAAAACTACAGCAATTCAGGTTGAAAAATAAAGCATTTATTTTAGAAGTTAATATAAGGGATAAAGAGAAGAAACACAATGTTTTATTTGTATCTATCCCAGAAATGAAACCAAAGGTCACACAGCAACACCCAAACTACAGGAAGCAACGAAAAATCAACTCTGAGAAAGCTGTGGCTGCAGTGAGAAGGGTCCCGTTCTGTCTGTGGTCCTGCTCTTTTGCTGGCTTAAAACTATAAGCGGACTTCCACAGAGAGACACACAAAAGGGGCAGGAGAAGTGGAGTTAAATAAGTAACAAGAACTAACGTTGCCAACAGCCACGGTAATAAAAGTGCAACAGTTAGGTTAGATGTGTTGGAAGGATTTGCATATGATTCCAGAAGTTACAGTCACTGTGGGCACAGATGGGGAGTCTTCAGTTGGTCTGGTCTGGAACCACCAACCAACCCCGGCCCTCCAAAAGGCAATTGCTCTTCAAACTCCAGGAGGTTGAGGATGGTAGCCCGAGTTAGCACTGACCTCTGCTCACCAAAGACATCTCAAGCATTTTTCAGGGGCTGGGTTGGGCCCAACCTTGCCTGGAATCCTACTGACCACCAATAGCCCGGAACTCCCATCTCCCCACACATTAACCCATGCTACTTAATGAGAATGTACGGTAAACCAACGGATATTATGGGTATAATTTAGGCGCAGAAGGGAGTTATTATAAGGCTATCCTTTGGAAACATATGTGTGTTTTATATACTCTAATAAATTAATCTCCATGTTTGTGTCCTGCTTAAATATCCTAGACTTTATATTGTTATCTATCACTCTTTTCCTTACCTTTGCCCTTGCCTAATGAGGCTTAGCAAAGAAGTGGTACTTTCACCGTGGAGTCTGACGGCGGGGTCAATCCACTAGCCAGTCAGCCTGGGGCTACAGGTCTCAGGTCCTGCACGCTCAAGGGTGAGTTTCAGCACCGCGGACAGCACAAAGTTCCGCCAGGCCTTCCCTTGAATTTTTTTTTACCCTAGCGCCAGAACTTTTTTTTTTTTTTTTTTTGTGGGTATAGAGAGGAAAGGGAGGAAGAGACGGTCAGGAGGCAATTAGGCGGGACAAAGGGGGAAAGTCTGTGACTGGGGGGAGAGAGCCTGACCTGCCAGGAAACACCCTGGAGTGTCCCGTAAAGGTCCCTCCCATCGGAAGGGGGCGACGCCACTAGGCTCTCCCGGCTCCTCCGGATGCCGCACCCGCCGTAGTCAGTGGACCGCCGAGTACTTCATTCGCTTCTGTTTCTGTCTCTGGTTACAGAACCAGACCCTCACCACATTCTTTTTAAGGTCCAGTTTCTCAGCGATGGCCGCGATCTTCTCGGATGAAGGACGTGGCTGGATAGCAAAATAGGCTTCAAGTGAGCGCTTCTCTGGAGCCGCGATGGACGTGCGTTTGCGCTTACGCTCACTGCCGTTGAAGAGCTCCGGCTTGCTATTCTTCTCTCGGTAGGCGGCCTCCGCCTCCTCCAGCCAGGCCTGGAGGACCGGCTTGAGCGCGATCATGTTGTTGTGCGACAGGGTGAGAGATTCGAACCTGCAGATGGTGCTCTGGCTGAGTGAACCCACGCCAGGGATCTTGAGATTGGCTAAAGCCGCGCCCACGTCCGCCTGGGTTACCCCTAACTTGATGCGCCTCTGCTTGAAGCGCTCGGCGAAGGCTTCCAGCTCTCGAGGGTCTGACTCCACGTCGCTGAGACACGCAGGCATGGCACTGTGAGGCGCTACGGCATGCGGGTGACTCATGCCCATGGCCTGGTGCAAGTGGCCCATGGCGCCTAGATGATGCGGGTGGATCTGCGCAGGCATCACCGAGTGCTCCGGGGCCCCCAGGCCGCTCACGCTCAGCGTGGGCGAGATGTGCTCCAATAAGTCGCCCTCGAGGCCCTGGTGCACCGCGTGGTGCGGGTGCGAGGTGAGTGCAGCCGGGTGGGAGATGGGCACCGTGGGCGAGGTGGACGTGCAGGGCACGCTGCTCATGGTATGGTAGGTGGCGTCGGGCTTGAACGGATGGTTCTTGCCGTGGGAGACGATATCCACCGCCGCCAGAGCTTCTGCGCGTGCCAGCAGGCTCTCATCAAAGCTTCCAAATATATTACCCTGCAGCTGCAAGCGAGAAGGCGCACAGCACGGTCAGTGGGGAATACTGTCAACTCAGGATTAAAACACATTTTCAAGCAACCGAGATGCCTCTCCTCAAAGCCCAGGTCATAAAAATTAATACGGAGGCAGCCTCTCTGTTGGAACAGACGTGTGGATCAGAGACATGAATGAGAGAGAGAGAGCGCCGCGAGAGAGCGCGGGGGAGACAAGGCGAGGGGTTCAGACAGCGGCGATTGTTCTGGGCGACATGAAAAAAACATGAAGCTAGTGCCTGTCAAAAAATGTGCCTTAGAGCGGTAATTATGCTCCGCTACGTACCTGCGGGGCTGGGAGACAAACTCGGCGCATGGCCTCAGAGCCGGAGTGCAGGCTGGAGAATTTGGGTTCTTGCAGTACGGGGTGCATGCCGAAAGGCTGCTTGGCGTTCATGGCCATCATCTTCGGGAGTCTGGCAGGGAGGCAGCGGGGGACATGGAATCAGGCTCGTCTTGCTGGCTCTCCGAGCTCCAAGTGAGCGCCGCTCAGCGCCCGCGCTCCCCTCGCCCTCTCGCTTGCTGCCTCCCCTCTCCCCCACCTGCTTCTTCACTCATCTTACAAGCAGCCTGCCAGGAAGGGCCCGAGCACGCGCAGGCGTGCACACGCGCCCGGGCCTCGCAGGGGCGGCCCGGGAGGCAAGGCGGGACCGCAGGTCTCGGCGCGCCACTCGGAGCCTAATGCGGCCGCCCCCTCCACTGCATTTATACCCGGGCCTGGCAGGGCCTCTTCCTGTCCGCCCCGCCCCGCCTGGCTCCAGCCTGCTAGACTTTACGGATTCTTCCTCCTTCCTCCTGGACTTTTTTGCACAAAGTCCTAAACCTCTGTCCTGTCCCAGCTCAAACTGCCTAGACAGAAGGGCAGAAGGGCAGACTCAGGCTGAGCGAGGGGCAGGAATCCTACCTCACCCAGACCTCCCAACACACACACCGTCCTCTCTCTCTCTCTCTCTCTCTCTCTCTCTCTCTCTCTCTCTCTCTCTCTC